TGAGTAGATAGATGCATTCGGTTCACCCAGGCTTTGTGTACTTCTGAGCAACCAAGAAAGTTAGTGGTAGACTTTAATTCCTAAATATTAACCACCCAAAAGCAATTTCTTCCCTAGAAAGAAGGGTGATCCTGACAGTCTTCTTCAAAGGCAGCTGTTCTGCCTACTAGCCCTATTGCTGATTGTGTCTAGCTCAACTTAGACACACTCTGATGTATGTAGAGTTTGGAGTGCCAGACAGTCAACACCCCCACCCCCCTGCCAGCAGTCCAGGTGCTGACCAGATTAGCTAGAAGACAAGTCCTTCTCACTTTCGTTCTGAAGTGGAATGTGCCAGGGTGCTTGGAGTTCCTAGCTGGGAGTATGAAGAGTGATATTCTAGGCAGTAACAAATATTTCCAGGGAAGAAAGTCCTTTTCAGGAAACGCAATGGCTCACTTGGTTGATGTGCTGTGAAGTGAATAGCTGTTTAAAAACTAACAAAGCAAAAAAAAAATCTTTTTGCAAGGCAGGGTTTTCATCTTTGGAGACCAAAAGGTTCTATAAGGATTTAGGATTCATTTCTTCCAGCAGAAAAAAAGGAGGGCATAGGATTTGCAACAAGTTTGTGACATAGGTTAAGATGGAAGATAGCAAACAATTAGCCTGGCAATTTTAACTGGGCAATTTCATACTTCAGCAGGAATTTGAGCCTGGATTTTTCTTTTTTTTTCTTTTTATAAAATAAACTTTATTAAAGATTCAAAATAAAAATATATACAATGTATAAGACGTTTCGTTGCAAACGAAACCAATATACAAATGCAAATATAAACATAAAACATACATATTTCTAATCAGCTAAGACGGTATGATCATTTATTGAAAACAATTTTACTAATATTCATTTTCTATTTTTGGTATATGCTCTTAATCTAACCACTTCATTTTTCAAATCCTTATCTTTTTATTTCCTGGTTTTTCTCCTTAATCCAATTATACCATTTTTCCCAAGCTGTACTATATTTTGAGTCTACCTTATCTTTAGTTTTTGTGTAAGTAGGTCCATTTCAGCGCAGTCAAGAACTTTCTGAATTATCAAATTATTTGTTGGCATTTGGTCACCCTTCCAGCATTGTGCCAATGCAATTCTTGCTGCCGTGAGAATTAAAGAGATTATGGAGAATTAAGTATTTCGTTTCTTTTGCATAGTCCCCTTTTAACATTCCCAACAAAAATGTTTTGGCCTTAAATTCTAACTGTATATTTGTAATTTCTTTTATTCAGATTCTATTTTTTTCCAGTACTTTTTACTTTGGGGGCAAAGCCAGCAAGCGTGAAGGAAGGTACCCCTCATTTGCTTACATTTTCAACAAGTTGGACAAGTTTGGGCCTTATGCCTGAAGGACTGATGTCATTCTTCAAACACATATGGCATATAGTTCCTTTGGAAAGCCACTCTCAAATATCATGCAAAGCTTGATGAACCTTGGACTGATAAAAGTTGTTCAGTTAAATCTAAAGCTTTCGCTATAGACTTTCATACAGGATGGTCATGCTACCATTTCCCAAGTTCTTTGGAAGAAGGACAAATACTTATTTAATAAAATTAATAAGTGCTTGGGGATCTGCATAAAATAGTTGGATCTCATATTTTAGGGTGGTTTTTTTTTCTATGTCAATTCCACAACAATAATGTCCCAACAATAATGTTAGGATGAAGCTTAGACTTGTTCTTTAACTCCAACCTCTCCATAGGATCAGCTTCTGGCCAGTGCCTAATGTCCTAAAGCCAAGTGAGTCTTAAACTTTCCAGTTCCACTGACTCAAATTCTGACCCTATTTCTCCAGAAGGCAGGCACCTTCTCATATTAGGCTTGTGGGGAAATATTATATCGGTTCTGACCAAATCCCAGCATGTAATGCTAGCCTTCATTTTAAAGAGGGGAAGCCCCTTAAAACTTTTGGGTCTTACCCCGAAAAAGGGGGAAGATGTCTCTTTCTAATTCTACCAAGAAACAAACAGGGAGGGATCTTTCCCTATCTTGACACCTGACCCCAGATCACTCCTGATTGCTTCAATAGTTCTGTCACTCTGGGCAATGTTCAGCTGAAGCACATGCATCCTGAACTCCTACCACAACAATTTTTATTGGCAGAAAACCAATGCAATAGTAGAGCATCTTTCTAGGCCCAAGATATCAGCAGTCATAGGACAAGGTGTACTAGCAAATCAGCCGGAGAACTGAGTTGGGAGAATCTTTCCAAGAAAAGCAACAGGGGTAAGAGAAAGAAACCAGCTCTGCAAGAAAGGCATTTCTGTTTTGAGAGGTCATTTAACAAAACTATCTTTTGTTGCCGAATCAGTTCATTTAAATGTCAAGCCCTTCTGTTTGAACAATTTCCATTGTTCCTTTTTACATGGTGCCTTTCACAAGCGTTGGACTGCAATTCCCATCATTTTCATTAGGAGTCCAAGACCTCTGGAGGGCATCAAAATTGTGCATTGATTTGTGGAATATTCCTTGTTTCAACTCTGGGTTAAAACTGGTTCTTCTACTCAGAATGAATGCACCCTTCAACGAATTCATCTGCCTCAATAATACTGTGCAGCTTATTTAAATGTAAACTTGTCTCCTACTGTTTTCTAGACCAGGGGTCTCCAACCTTGGCAACTTTAAGACTTGTGCGTTTCAATCCCCACAATTGAAATGCACTGGCTGAGGAATTCTGTACTGGCTGAGGAATTCTGGGAGTTGAAATCCACAAGTCTTAAAGTTGCCAAGATTGGAGACCCCTGGTGTAGACTATGTCTTCCATTGGTTGTAGAGGTTTCAACTCTTTTTTATACAGCCAGGGTCATTTCTTTTTATTCAAATGAGGGCTTTATTGTGGCATCCCACAGGAAGTTGTTCATATTTTAGTGTCTCCCCCCCCCCCCCCTTCTCCTGTATTTTCTCAAAATCCTGCCTTGGGAGGTTTTTTTTTTTTTTCCATATCCAGGAAAAGAAGAAGGAACAGCTGCACCGTGCCCTTTGATTGGTAGTGACAAAAGCTCTCCATCTGGAAACACAAGTGACTTAGAATCAAGCCAAACCCCCCGCTGAAAGCCGAATAAAATCATGTTGTTCTTTTAAAATGGTGACATGCCATTTCAAATAAAAACTTAAGCCCAATGGCTAAGAAAAATATTTGAGCTTGGCCAGAATGTTTTAGCTGCAGTTATTTCCAAGGGTTTTCCCTTCTGGAAAGAATGTCCAGTATGTCCTCTTTCCCCGAAACAGAAGGGTTCGTGGATGAAACATGTTCCTCTTGGAAGAAGAGCTTCCCTTGAGCAAGGTAAACCCCTTTGTTTTCACCCCCTGCTCTGTCCCCCTTTTTATCAGCTGCAGGTGCAGTGAACACCTTGGGCACCAGCCATTTGGCTGCCTGCCAGCCACAGCGCAGGACTAATGCCTGCAGCTGGTTCCAATCTACAGAGGCTGGGCTGGGAACTGCTAGTGGAGGTTTGGCAGCCAACATGCTACGCGCACGCATGTTTGTGTTTCAGAGCAAGCCAAGCCCACAGAGGCGTCAGACAGAGTGCTAGGGGTGTCCCACCCACTACTGAACGTCAGCAGCTGGACAAGCAAGCACTCCGTGTCAGCAGCGCTTGAAAGCAGATGCCAGGGGCTGTGTATAGGGCCAGGTAGGGAATCAATCTGAAATGAAGGAACTTCGCTCGTCAGCCTCTAAAACCACATCTTTCCAGTCAACACTGAGAAGAGAATCCCTGAGCCCCAGTAGGGCCAATTCTAAAATACACACAAGGTAAAAATACATTTCAATGCACCAAAAGAAATGCTGGCCATGTTTTTACTATTTTAATTCCCTAATAAAAAGAGGTTCCTTTTGCCGGAGGGAGTGTTCCATCAAACGAAGTGACTTACATGTGGCTTAGGGTTATGTTAGTCTGTTTTTAAAGCCTGGAGTGTAAATACAATCGTATAAGAGTCAGAAATCAGTTTATGGAAATTGGTACCGAGGAGACCCTATCGGCTATGACATCCAGCTCTCTACATACCATTTAACAAACAGGTTCCTCTTAATGAGATGGTTTTGTTAAGTAGAGCAAAAGTAGGATGGGTGCATACGGGTGCATTTCTGCTGTTGAAAATAAATATTCATGGCTTGAAAAGACCTTCAGGAAAAGCACACATCCCTACCTTTCCATCCTTGTCTTCAATGAAATAGCTATCATATATCTTTTTAAAAAAGATATTTTATGGTGGACATTTCCAAACATTTAGTCTCAAATGGCCAGGGTAAAAGCAGCAGCTGTAATCTACATTTATTCTTTGTGCTAAGTTATAATGTAAACAAACCCAAATGCTGTAAAACCCAAATCTGCAAATAACAGTTTATGGCTTAGTGCTGTGTATGAGTCAGACCTATGACAATCAACAAGCAATTAAAACAAACTATGACTAGAGCCAGCTGCATGACTTGGGCCAGTCTCTTTCTCTTAGCCCTAGGAAACAGGCAGTACATCATTTCTGAAAAACCTTGCTAAGAAAACTTCACTGACTTGTCCAGGCTGTCTCTGAGAATTGGACACGCTTGAACGGCAGGAGGGGAAAACGGCCAGGGAGAAACCTGCAAACTTAGTTTAAGGATCCATCTACAACTCATAATTTCTTAACATTCTGGAGTCCATATTCTGAATGCATAATTCTCACTTAATAATTTCCAGCAAGATGAATAAAGCAGAGTGACAGAATTTTGAATATTTATTACTTTAGTCAATGCATTCGAAACAGCTATAATGCTCATTAAGAAATTAACTAATATTGTCAAAAAGCATTTGTCAGGAAATAGCCATCTGAAAAGACACTAAAAGTTTACTGATCAGTTCTAATTCACTAGAGGGGGCCCACATAGCTTCAAGCTTGATTTCTTAGCCACAAGGATGACATATTCCATGTTTTAGCCATTAAAGAAAAGAAAAGCATATAGTAATCACACCAAAAGAGAAAGCTTACCTAGGATGACTGCAGGAGCAGTTAACACACCCAGCCTGACTGACATCTCAAGAGGACTGTTCCCTAGATGGATGGCGTCATGGTAAGAAAAGTGGAGTGCTCAGAACTATTACATAAAAAGGGATTATGGCTCTTGGTAGCACTGCCAAGATTATCAACCAGAGCCACGTGGCAATTGGAACTGCAATTCCAGCAAGAGCAAGATGCACTCTAGAAAGATGCCTAGCTTGTCAATCAACTACACTCTCTCCCCCACCACACATACCCACGCACACACACCCATGACATTTAAAGACTACAAGCCTAAACCCACACAAGTGGACTCTTGTCAAACTGAGTTCAGCAGGACTTCCTTCCAAGTAAATAGTCTTAATTTAATTGCCAATTAATTGGCTTAATTCAGGAGTGAATGCTACGGAACAAAACTAGCTTTACTTGCAAACAGAGGGCAAAGAGGAGAGCTGTTTTAAGAAAGCATTTTACTGTCCTCACCAAGCACATCACTCTCTGAAGTATTTACAGCTAGCTCGATACCCATGCTTCGCTACGAAGCTATGTGGTTGGGCTTAGTTTTTTGGGAGGAAAATAAGGGGGGAAAATTCTGCCTCTGCTTACCAGCATCCATTGGTATTCGTCTGGCTAGTGTCCTGTCAGTGTGTGAGAGTTGAGGGCTGTTTGGAAACTGAAACAGTATTTGCTGTGTGAGCAAGGAGACAATAAGGAGGCTGGGCATGGCTTATCTCAACTGTTCTGTACTAAAGCTGGTTGCTGCTGTGAAACTAAAACTGAAACTCCTTTCATCTGCTTGTTTTGCATTTGGAACAGATTTCGTTTCAAGTGGAGAGGGGGAATAAACTCCTTAGCATCAGAGCATGTTAATAATAATATACAAAATACTAATGCTCTGATGGTCCTTTCAAAAATCCTTTCTTAGTGAGCACCTAGAAGCCAAGAGGAACATATGTGCCAAATTTCAAGTTTGTAGGCTTTACGGTTCTGGAGATTTTGTGATGATGCGTGAGTGGTATTTCGCTTTTATATATATATATAGATGTATCGCAACCTGATTCTTGATGCTCTAACACAAAGTGGGCTTATGCAATAAGTTCATGATGTATAAACAAAGAATTTGATTTAGGGACATTTAGTTTCACCCCAAGGACCAAATCTATTTACTGTCTATGCTAGTTAACTCCATTCACACAAGCAGCCCCCAATGGGGGCTTACAAGTCTCTAAATCAGGGATGTCAAACTCGATTCCATTGAGGGTCGCATCAGGGTTGTGTTTGTCCTTGGAGGGCCTGGGGGGGCTGGGGGGGCCTGGCCATGGTAGGTGTGGCCAGCTCAACATCACTTGTGTCGGGGGCATCTGTGGTGGCCAAGTGCTAAGGCAGGACTTTCCTGAGACTCTCCTTCACTCTCATAACCTTCCTTCCTTCCTTCCCTCCCTCCCTTGCTTCTCTTCTTTTTTCTTCCCTCATTCTCTTTTCTTGTTCCTTCCCCTTTCCTTATTTTTCCTTCCTTACTCTCTTCCATTTTCCCATCTTTGTCTTTCCTCTTTCCCTTTCTCCTTTCTTGTCCCTTCTTGCATGCTCAGATGCAAAAGGGGAAACATTTCTCCTTTTGTTTTGTTTTTAGTTTGTTTTGATAGCCCTCTGCCAGCAAAAATGGAGCCAGGGTAGGGGGGGCGCATGTGCTCCCCCATTTTCAGCTGTGATAGCTTCCTGCAACCCTTTGCCAGCGAAAATAGAGCACTGGGGTCACCGTGCTCAATTTTCGATGGCAGAGGCACCGCAGGCCACTCTTTGGCTGTTCCCAGGCCGTCCCCACAGACCAGATCTAAGCATCCCATGGGCTAGATCTGGCCCACGGGCCTTGAGTTTGACACCCCTGCTCTAAATAAAGGTATGCTGGGTGACTAAAGACAACCCATCCATATTAAACTCATTTCTAGGAAAGGGAGAAATGAAACTTCCTCCCTTTTCAGCAGAATAATTTTTGAGCAGTCTTCTTCCACGATTGGATGAGGTCTGGGCCCTTGCGGGCATCAAAGGAAAAAGAAATGGACACTGAAGTCTGCAGGAGAGCATTTTTTTTAGAAATTAGATCGCAACCCATAGGCTTCCATCAGCATAATTCAATGCAGGTATGTAGCCAGAACACATTATCTTATCAAGTCCCAAAGAGGCAGTGCCACCAAAGCTTCCAAATTCTAACGCCACAATCCAGTAGGTAGGCATTGCATTGGTGAAGGCTGTTCTAACCTCTAATAACCTCAAAGAACAAAGCTGATCTGTAAAGATCCAGCCAGATGCCCTTTTAAGGATTAAGACACAGGAAACCCAGCAGATGTCTTCTCACAATTCCCCAGATAAGAAAAGCACCCATAAAATGTCAGTGGAGATTCTCAATCATCTAGGTCATCCAGGTAATCCTCAACTTACAACGATTTGTTTAATGAATGTTCAAAGTTACAACAGCCCTGGAAAATGTGACTTATGACTTTTTCAGTTACGACCTTTGAAGCATCCCCATGGTCACGTGATCAAAATTCAGACACTTGGCAACTGGTTCACACTTATGACCATTGCTGTGTCCCAAAGTCACGTGATCCCCTTCTGACAAGCAGTCTGCTTGTCAGAAGGGGATCACGTGACTTTAGGACACAGCAACGGTCATAAGTATAAACCAGTTGGGGAAGCCAGATTCACTTAACCACCAGGTTATTAATGTATCAACTGCAGTGATTCACTTAACAACTCTGGCAAGGAAGGGGAAAAACTTGTTTAACAAATGTCTCACTTAACAGCAACGTTGAGAGCTCAATTGTGGTCATAAGTTGAGGACTACCTGTAATTGTCTCAAAAGTGCTTTTTCAAAAGGCAACTGGATCCCTTTTGGTTTGAAAGAGGTGTAAAAGAGAGCATTTATGTTGAGCGGCCCTCTCTCAACAGAGGGGGAAAGGGATAAGGCACTACAGCCTGCAACTTGTAGTGCCAAGAAAAACCCACAACCATTTACACCTTGAGGGCAAAGACAAACCCTCACAGAGAACATGAAGTTGACTGCAAGAAATACACGCCTTCCATTCTCTTCTCAGAACCTTATCCTTCCATCTCCCACTGCTCAGCCTCTATTGTTAGAAACTGTCCTCTCCCCCACACCTCCTCCACATCACAACTGATGATGTTTCTCTGAGGAGAATCCAAACGTTTGATTCTTCCTCCTCCTCGAAGTCTGTATAGAGATTCTCAGTCATGCAACTCATGGCTGTCCCAAAGGTGCTTTTTCAGGAGGCAACTGGACTTTCTGGTTTTTGTTTTTGTTTTCTTTGAAGACGTTTGGATGAGAAGCGAAATGTGTTCAAAGAAAAAAAAAACAAGAAAGTCCAGTTGCCTCCTGAAAAAGCACCTTTGGGTTCTTCCTCGAAGCGGGGGTGGGAGGAAACCCCAACCGGGTCTAATCGCCTTTTGAAAAAGCACTTTTACGCGCCCATATAAGCCGTCCAGCCGTCCTAAGCAAGAATCCCTCAGTTCCAGGGTCACGGGTCATCCACGCTAACCCTGCACAGGAGCGTCTCGGGGTTGTAAGAACGAGGAGAGACGAGGCGGCTTCCCGCTCCGCTCCTCTGCTTTAAAAAAAAACCTCCCCTCGAGGGTACCAACTTCCACCCGCTTAAGTTTGGCGCCGCCCCGAAGCCTTTAAAAGGACGGAGGAAATCCGGGACTTGGAGCACCAAGGGGACTTGGGTTTCCCACAGACCAAGGGTTGCTGGTGGTGGTGGGTTTAGAAAGGAGGCGAGGAGGTGACCACGCCGGGAGGGAAGACTCGCAGGGGGTGGGCATTGATTGCCCGGGCGCGCGCGCCGCCCGCCCCGCCCTTCTCACCTGCTGCGCGCCCTTCTTCTCCATCGCCGTCCCCACAGCGCCGGTTCTCGGCTTCTTCGCCCGGGAAAGCGGCCCGGAAGCGGCCTCCGGGGCCGTGACCTCCCCAGGCATGGTAAGCCGGGCCAGCCAGCCGATCGTCCTCTTCGCCCACTTCTGCGACGAAGACAAACCCCACCACAACAACGCGGCTCTCACCCCGGCTGCTCTCCCCATCCGCCCGCGGCTTTATTTTCTTGCAAACTCCGCCCTTTCGGCCCCGGCCAGGAAGGAGTCTCCGTGACGTCAAGCCCAGACCCGATTGACGTCGTCGGAATCCCAGCCATCAATGGGGACTAAAAATAGACGCCTCCGAGCCCAAAATACACGCCCTGGTGCGCGCAGCGGAGGCTCCCCTCCTCGGGTGCCGTAAGCTTTTTCTTTCTCTCCCCGCCCCACCTCACTTCCCCCCCTCCCGGCTGCGCGGCAAGAATACGCGGCGAGTGGAAACAAAAAACACAAAAACAGCATTTCCCATTTCCAAGCTACCCCCGAGGCCAAAGAAGTGGGCTGCCCGGGTTGACGAGGCCGCCGTGGGAGGATCGCGCTGTCGTGAGCGTGACGTTCCCGTCGCCTGGTTAGATTAGAGGGGTCAGATGCGTTTCGCCGTGTGTGCTTCCCCTCCAATATGAGCAGGGGAGGAGAGGGGGGGAAAAAAATTCCTTCCGTTATGCAATTGTCCGAGGAAGAGCTCCGGCCATCTCGAAACCATGCGTGACGACCCTCTGTGACAGGTTTGGTGGGTGCTTAATATGTCCAATGGTGGACTCTCGATTTCGTTTTGCTTCTTCTAATCTAATCGGTCAATCAGTAAGGAAGCCATTAAAACGTGTAGGTTCTTTTAAGGTTTGGAAGAGGGTTTTTTTTTTTTTTGCCTTTTTCCGATTATCTTCAGATAAGTCCTCAATTTAGGACCACAACTGAGCCCAACGTTTAGGTTTGCGAAGTGAAAAAATTGGTTTAAGGGAGTTTTGCCCCCTTTGACGACTTTTCGAGCCACCGTTGTTGAATTAGTGACATGGTGGTTGTTAAGTGATTCCGGCTTCCCCATTGACTTTGCTTGTCAGAAGGTTGCAAAAAGGGATCACGTGACCTTGGGACCGTCCTAAATGTGAGTCAAGCGTCCGAATGTAA